CCCCTTTCACACCCCGCATAGGCGCAAATTATAATGCCGGGGCTTAGAGACCATCACTCTGACAAATTACAGGTTTGTTCGCCGGGCAGCGGGAGATAGATTTCGTCGCTCCATCACCGTCGCTTCCAAGCGAACTCGTGCGCGGCGCGAGCATGCATATTAATACGATTTTAATCCGTATCCGCCTGGCATCGTGCGCCCGATTTTATTTTTCCTCTCCTTTCGTTTTGTTTCACGCCGCCCGGCGACAATGCTGCGAATTGTTCTGACAAGGGCGCGATTCGCGCCGGATGAAGCTACGTGCGAAAGACGCGCGATTGTTACGTTTTGCTCTTATCGAACGGCTCGCCGAGCGTGTGTCACAAGCTCGGAAAATCTCTCACGACCGATCCGAGTTTCCCTCTGCGTCAAATTACAAAATGGCCGAGTGAAGCGCACTTGATTTATGATCGCGCTATTAATTGCAACTATGAAACCGATGCGGCCGATCTCTCTGCAAATCAACGCGCATTCAGAGAGAGAGAGAGAGAGAGAGAGAGAGAGAGAGAGAGAGAGGCGCTTCGAGACATCGGGGATCGTTACGCTCCGCCACACGCGCGATCTCTCATTCACGTACACGACCGCCCCGTTACCGTCCTCTGCTCCTGGGAAACTTCCTTCGCGTAAGACGACGCCGTTTCCGTCTGCCGTTTCGGCCAGACGGGACGAGACGGCGACCGGTCGCGGAATTAATTGCAACGACCGTGTCTTAATTGATAACGAAAGGCATTAAGATTTCGCGTAATGCCTGGCGCGGCAGCGGGGTGGCTCGACAGTGGCGACGGTGGATAGACGAATGGATGGGCCGGCGAGGGTTGGGGGGAGAACGACGAGGAGAATCCTCGACGCCGAAGAGCCCCAGACTAACGGCTGACTCGCGGCAGGGGGAGGTGAAATAATGCCGGGCGCGAGAAGCCGTATTTGCATTAGCTATTCGTTTGACCCTAAAAACTGTCTGAATTGCGCCGATGGTTGCTCGTAAAGCTCGGCAATATCGCGGTGAATCGCGCTCTCCCGGGCGTGCTCGAAATCCGAAACTCGGAAGCCGCCGCCGGCGCGCGGCGAGCAGCGCTCGCGCGAAATTAATGTCGCGACCCAAAGGCGCGCGCGCGCTCTTCCGCCTTCCTTCTTCCCGAATGGCTCGGGACTCGAGGAAGAAACGTCAGGTTATTGCGGGCGAGAGAGCTTTACAGCTGCAGCGCGACGCGTGTTGATAACGCGCCTGAGCGATGCCCGTCGCGTGTTTATTTTCTACGTCTAATATCGCGACGAGAAAAAACGAGCGAGCGAGAGAGAGAAGGAGAATTCTACGTAGATAACAACGCGGTAATACCTCGACGGAACGATAAAGATCGCTCTGCGAGAGGCTACGTGCTCGCTGCGATATTCGTGGAACTATCGATCCAAGAGGGGGAGGGGCTTCCGATAAAGTGGAGAAAAATTCCGTCGTATAATCGAACGTGCATGCGTCGAAATGTTAAAGACTGGTACAAGTTAGGTAGACGGAAGGAGGAGGAGGAGGAGGAGGAGGAGGAAGAGGGAAATAAATAAATCATGGAACGGCGACGAGAACGCTTCGTACGGCCGTTCGTGAATTAATCAGGAAAAAGGCGACTCACCATCACGTGCTGTCGTTGGCCACCGCTGGTGATCGCGAACGTCGCAGGACGTCGATCCTTTCGTCGATCGCGTGTCCCACGTTGGCGTCGTCGCCACGTCGTCGACGGGGCCACAACCATGATGAATATAACTCTCGACGCACAATGTATCGGACTTTACGAGTGCCCACCTAGAAAAAGAAGGAGCACGAGGTGATGGGATGGCCACGGTGAGTCGGATGGCGAGGGGGAGGACCAGGAGGCAAGACGGGGGAACGGCGATGGGGAGCACTCAGATTTTATTACGTTATTTTGTTAATGCAGTGAGCGAGGTGAAGGAGAGAGAGAGAGAGAGAGAGAGAGAGATAGAGAGAGAGAGAAAGAAGGAGACAGAAAGGTGGTCCACGCGCCTCGAATGTGTCCGGCCACGAAAAAATATTATGTCCCTCGGTCAGAAAACGGGCTATGAAATCTTTTTATGCCCTCCGCGCTGCGACGCCACCCTGTCCGTAGAATTTCACCTACACGCCTTCGTCGCCGACGGCGACTCGCGGCGAGTCACTTCCGAAGGACGCGAAGTGCGGCGCGCGAACTGGCGGCTTACCCGGGTTGAGAGGAGATTAAATATTTCATTATGATACAATGTTTACATGACGTCGAGGAAGGAGTCAGTTTTTGCGGTTTTTGAGGCCGTTGAAGCTCAACGGTCCTCGAGTCCTTCAACAAGTCCTTGTTATTGACCGGCGGATCACGTGACAATATTTTGTGCGCGCGATGACGCCCGACCGATTCCCTCCGGTCGCGGACGCTTTAACTTCCACGTCACGTAATTTTGCCCCCGGAATATTTCCGGAGACTCGTCGAGTTAGAACGACTAACCCCCCGCCCGCTCACTCCGTCCGCGGTTATCGGAACACGCGGTTTCTTTCTTTTAAAAAGCGACGCTACAGCGGAGCGCGCAAACGTTAATAAAGAAGCCGCGGCAAAGAAGCCGGCCGACAATAAGATACTGATAAGCAGAAAACATGTCGGGGATTAGGGGCGGAGGGGGGGGGAGGGAGGTACAGCTAAGCAGGAGCCGGCGCGGCGGCGGCGAAAGAAGTCGTACGCAGTTGCCGCACGTACGCAATTTTTGCCGCGACGGCGCTTCCTCGCGAACGGAGTCTCGCCGAGCGAAAAAAGCTGCTCCAGCTCGGAAAAGTTCACGTTGTCGGGGACAACGTCGTCGCGAAATTAAACGCTCGATTTCCAGATTCTTCGCATCGACGATAACACGCGCGAGCGCATCGCGCGCACTCGACGTTTAAGGCCGGCTTTCGGTACATTCCCGTGGTCTCGAGTCTCGAGGGCTGCTACGCGTTCCTCCGGCGCGAGGGCGCGGGCTGCGACGTGTCTGTCAATAAATACGCCCGGAGGTATTTTAACAGCTGTAATAATTTTCGCCGCGCTATAAATCAACGCGCGCTATGTGCGAAGGGCGCACCCTTCGGGGACCTTTCGCGATTCGCCGGCGCGAAAGCGTCGGACGAGCCGTGGCCTCTCGCGACGCCTGTCTGTCCCCTCCCTCCTCCTTGGCGCGATTTTTTAATAAAACTCTTCCCATCGAATCGTTCCCGGTTCGATCTACAAGTCGATCGCGAGCGAAGCATACATACGTGTGCGTGTTTGTCTGCGGAAAAAAAACGCGAGCGTCGGTTGAGGATATCTCTTGGCGCGCAACTCTTGTCGCGCGATTCATCGGTCGTTAATCGCGAAACTCGCCTCTCATACGCTATTGTCTGCAATGTATAATAACACGGGGGAGAGAGGGGGAGACGCAAATCGCACGCTTTCGCGAACTATGGCGGAAACTCTAGCGGTTTGTCTAGCATTCCTGAAGGTATACGTGTCGTATCGATTCTGGCACGGCGAACATGTATAACAACCACGATAGTCTCGGTGAATTCCTCGCATGAGTCACGGGAAGTACCGGTACGTCTTTCTCTCTCTCTCTCTCTCTCTCTCTCCTGCTCCACTTAGGGCGCAGATAATAATCACGCGACGCGCTATAAACCTGCGAAGGTGCTTCGTCGCATGTTTCTCCACTCTTAACGGAACTATGCATTTCTACGTACGTCGTGACACACGTGGAATGAATGTTCTCGGCCGAACGGGCCGCTCGTCGCCTACGAGTTCGTAATGAAATAGTTAAAAAAAATTAAATACGTTAAGAAATATAAATATAAAAATACATTAAAAAAGAAAAAGAAAAAATCGGACATGCGAGCACGTCGACGTCGTGATTTCGCTTGGAGTGATTTGCGCGGAACGGAATCAGCGACAGATTTAAGAATCCGTCTAATCCTTTGAAGAACGAAATCAATTCGACGCGGTGATCGCGCCTAGTCCGGACAAACGACACATCGAGCTATTAAATTTATATGAATCGCCAGTCGATGCGATTCGCCGCGCCAGTCGGAACGTGACGGCGGATCCGACGGCGAAACGCCATCGCCCTCGCCCTCGTCCACGTAGCGCGAAAGAAGATATGAGACCAACGACGAAATGTCAAGTTGGAAGAGGAGCGTCTACGACACGTCAGCTAATGGTTTTCCAACGAGCGCGAAATAAAACGTCGCGCGGGATAATTCGACAGCCGTGAAAGCACGTGGCCGCATCGTTAGGAGACACGTTGTGTTATACCTGCGACAAGCGGGAGAGAAAGAGAGGAGCCGGCAGAAGCGGTTTACATGTTTACCCTCGCATTTACATGTCGCGGTAATAGGCTCGATGTGCAATGACATCGTGCGCATGGGAAAAGACGATACATCATAATTCCGAGCTGAAGATCGAATCAATCACTCACCCCTTGTGTGCGCGCGTGTGTGTGCACGTGTGCGAGCACAAAGTAGCACACACGCACTCATGCACGGGCGAATAAAGGAAGACGCCGAAGTACCGATGATCCGCTAATAATTCTTTACGAAGCAAAATTACGCCGTTACTATTATCGCGTATAATAATGCGTCTCGATACGAATCCGTGCGAATATCGCGAATCGATCCGCGAGATCGCGCTGTGGATAGCTGCGATAAATTTTCGGGATACGTTCCCTTGCAAATAATGTTGGTGAGCCGATAAAGCATAACGAGGCGTCCCCTAATCGGCTCCCCTCTCGATTTTTCAATACTCGTTTTACGTTTCGCGAATTTTCCATTCGGGTGGGCGTGAAAAAAAAGAACCCACAAAGCGAGCTCGAAATCGCTTCGAGCTGTAAGTCATGCGCGCAAAAAGGTTCATACTTTCCCTACACATATAGCCATATACAAAACATATCATACATGAAAATAAATGCAAGGACGTTAAAATCCTTAACGTCACTTGTACGCACGTACGTATATGAGAGATTTTATTTCCAAATATGATTGTACGATGGCTACAGTTTTGTTTTTCTTTTCATTTTATTTGCCATATATCACGTATAAAAAGATGAATAGAGGTAATAAAATAATGTTCACCATGTAGTCCACAGTGCTTAAAACGTCACTCCATTCTGGAACTCACACTTCTAACTCGATGTTAATGGCCCAATTTCAGTATCTTGCCACATAATGTGTCTGGGTTAAATACAAACAGATTATTGTGTGGCGCACCTTTCTGCGACACCGCCTTGATGATTTCCTGGGCCGTAACACCACCGACAATAGCACAGACTGGACTGATCTGTCCATACAAGTCACCCCTATAATCACAAAGATACATTATGCGATATAGTCACGTGCAAACTTTTCATATTAATTAATACTGGAGTAACAATACTACATTCTATATACATACTCTATTAAATGGTTTACCGCATCGCCAAGTTCACACTTTTCAATAATTAGAGAAGCCACATTTTTTAGATTATCAGAACCTCTCTCGTTAGGCTGTGGATCGTCGCCATATTTCTCGCGATAACTCAGCATTACTAAAAAAAAGAAAAAAAAAAAAATAGCCGAGATTAGATACAATTTATTTAGAAAATATCCATAAGTCTAAATTATTATTCAAAGTACTAATACAACATACTTAGCATCATATAATAAATCTCCGACTCTTTGGGTAAAGATGACTTTGGTACATATAGAATAAGTTCAAAGGGTACAAAAGTATCAGTATGTTTTTCAGTAACTGTTATGCTTTCAAACTTCTCTTGTGCCATGGGCTCACCGCTTTCTGGTATTTGCACTTTTCTCGTTTGCACAACATCTCTGCGAAATTATATTTTATTTACAAGAGATGTCAACTTTCAAGATATTTTTATAAAATATAGGCATACATACTCTGCATATTCATGATCCAGTAGGTCGGCAAATGTGTATCCAAATGACCCCCATATATCGCCAGCAAAGAATTTGACTTTATGTTCCCTGCAGATTCGATTGATCCTCTTCAGCTGTGTTATGGTGCAGTGTGTAGCACACACTACATCAAATTGACCAAAATATTCATCAGACTTGTCATCAACTTTGTCTGTATCGGCATTGACATTGACCATAGGATTCAAATTTTGTGCTCTTGCTAAAGACGCTTCAGCTTTCTAGAATAAAGTATTCGAATGTACAATGTGTGTAATAACTGTATAACTGAAAATAAAATATAGCTTTATATAATTTGATATTTACACTCTTTCCAATATCTTCTTTAGGTACAAAAAATTGTGAACATCTATCTAAATCTGTGACGTTTCTATGGTCTAAGAATGTAATAGCATTGACTCCGGCTAAGATTATATTTTTAGCAATCTCCGCTCCAAAACCGTCCAGACCAATCAGAAGAATTTTTGCTGCACGTAATCTGCAATATAAGAATAAAGATATCAAGATTTTGAGGAAAAGAGCAACAATATGTCAAAAGTGCCAAAACTACAATTCCATATTTATACTACTTTTACTTTATTACCACAAAACTCCTACAATCAATAAATAAATAATCAAAAGATGGATTATATCTATTCAAAGTGTGTTTTTCATAGTCATATATCATATTACATGCGTAATTCGTAATGATTGCAATAAACCGGCACGATCTGTCTAGGTTAGGTTATAGTCAACTTACCGCTTTTGAGATTCTAAACCCCACAGACGAATCTGCCTGTCATACAATTCGGCCTCCGCATCTGTTAACTCTTCGTTATTCCTTTTATCTTCGACCATTGTCAAAATGTCTTGTTTAGCAGCAAATTACTTGATACCGCCAAAACACGTTATAATACTCGATGAGCGTTTCGTACTTCGCGTGTCGACTAATGCCAACATGAAAATTGTGTCATCAAAAGTGATAACACACGATCAATCGACACTATCGAAAAACGCGATAAGCATTTTGAACCCTATCGAATAAAATATACCATAAATTAATAGAACAAGTCGTTCTAATAGTCGTAAATGCGATCGACAAATTTACGAGAACAAGCTGATGCTAAGTTGGAAACACTGTGCATGTATGTATGTGTATGTGACGCGATTGTTGTACATTGTTATCACAGAGGGGCGTCAAAGTGTTTCTACCGACGTGTAGATTGTCTTTTTCTCAATATCAATAAATATAAAAACGTGAAAAGTGAGCGTACTTAAAGTTTCGATAAAACTTATCTAGTCAAGTAGCTTTATCGATTAGAGAAGGTAAAATTTCCGCGTATCTGAGAAATTGAGGTTATCTTAGCAGCGACTGATAATTCGATCATATACAATCGTAACGTATGATGATTAGCTGATAGACATACATGAAACAATAAATGTAAGTACCGCATCAATTTATGCTCATACCGGGGAGAAGATTGTTTTTTTTGTACCTGATAATTTAATAATTAGTGCCTGTATTATCGAGCTTCTGACTAGGGTCGCGGACGACCGAGAAAATGGCCGCTACGAGTCGCCACCGTCCGGACTGTCAATTTCGGAACCTTCGGATCTTAGTAGTATGACTCAATAAATGAGTCAGCCGCGCGGATTTCCATTTTCAATTTAATAAATTATTTTAGCAACTTGGTTACATACACAAGACGGGAAAAATGTTTTTGTTGCAGTACAAGACAGACTCACCTTTTCTTCTTCAAACGGTGCGATTTAATGATGAGGCAGAGATCACTTTTATTTTCAAATTTTTTAACATATACGAGATAGACTCTTTTTCGGAATCTTTTTATTTTGAAATACTAAACGACGATTTAGTTCGCGCTGAAAACAAACGTCTTTGTAAATCGATAAATCAGGAAACACGAAATATCCTGAATACTGCTCCGAGAAAATATCAGCGATTTCGTTGCTGAAATTATCCTGGAATTCTGCGCGCGTTCGGTATCGAGAGAATAAATTTGAATAAAACCGGATCGTTCGTTGAGTTTTTGTTTGTTCAATTGCACGAGAGTCTAACGCTTATTGTTGATCGGTTTCTTTAAATTTTCTCAAAACGTATCATATTTTACACATACCGGTATTTATTTAGTTCAAATAGTATCGGTAGTTTATATTCCAACGTTAAATGCTTGTTCAAATTTGTAGCCAATTAAAATTTATGATTAACGTCCTTGTTATCTCTCTCTTTCGTTGAAATAAATTTAAGTAGACAATACATATAATCGCATCGTTACTATGCCATTATCTTTGCCCTCTTGACCCGAATGTTGTGAAAGCTGACCTTGGTGGGATAAGTGTATCGAATTTGCAGGCAAACTGCATTAATTATTAAACTTTCCGAGTCTTATAATGGCTTCGTACATGGCGATAAGAGTTAATTATGTGGAATTTATTGCTTCAACTTATCACTTATTAACTCTCATGTATAATTATTTTAACGTGCTATTTAGAACGTATCATCTCGCGTTCGCATAGTTTTGTTTTTCGCACGTTCGTGCCATTGTAAAATTCGCGTTAACATTTAGCCACGTCGTAACGTAGCTTCAACAAATTAATTACGCTCAAGAGAATATTATTTTTATCTCGTCGACATTACATTTTTTTATCGTTGCTTTTTCGTTTATCAAAATGAAGCTTTTGCTGCCACACGCTACAAACACGCACACACAAGAGAATCCCGTAAATTTATACGTACGTATGTATGTATGTATGTATGTATGTGTATGCATATATGTATATCAAATAAATATTGTTAAAGACAATGAATAAAACGGAGGAAGAGTACGTCGAGAAGACGTTCGTCTACAAATTTCCGACATGCACCACGAATCAGGAATACACGCTGGAAGTACCAATAAAAATACCGTACCACGGCTCCATAAAGGAGCTGATGCACCGTATAATGTCGTCGTTCAAGCTACCCTGTTACGTCGAGTCGGACTTATTAGAATCCCTGCAGCGTAATATGAAAGAGCTTACGCTGCAGTTTCACGACGAGAAGGCGGAAAAGCTTATCGACGCCGCCACAGCGGGCACGCTGGACTTGGAGGGCATAATTAAAAGCTGGGAGAAGATATACAAACAAAAGACGGTCGAATATTCGGATCCCATCGGGACCACCGACGAGGAATTATTCGCCGCGGCGTATCACAGACTGGTGCACTCGCCGTCCTTGGAGCCGATTTTGCAAGCGGAGCACAAATTCGGACGGGATGTCACCGAAGTGATTCAGATGAGGGACACCGACTACGAGCATCTCACGCAAAAGTCAGTACGATCTCATCTCGACCTTTCCTCCCATCTTCGAGATATCTTCCAAGACACGCGAGCGAATTATTGCACACCTTACTTGAAAATCTGTAAGAAGTAAGAAATTAGTAAGAAATAAGAAGACAAAAAGAAAAGTGTCTCAAGACAGATGTTTTAAACAACAGTGTGTTGAAAGTTCTTAGAGATATAAATCGAATAATAATAATAATCAGAGTCTGATGGTCATCCAATGTTTCAACAACCAGAAAAAGAGTCTCTCGCGCAGGGAGGGATGAAAAAGAGGGTTGTATTGTGTGTATTGTAGACAAACCGACGAGATGCGCGTCGCCGTAGAGGCTCTCGAGGCGGGATCTACGGAGAAGTCGATAAACGACATGGCAGGCCGTCACTTCGAGGAACAGAGTTTGTTGCAGGGCTACTGGGGTTCCAGGATCGACGCGTTAAAATTGGACCAACGGCGGCAATATCGAAACTGGATCATGAGGCTGTTGGAGGAGCAACAAACCAGCATGATACCCACCCCGGTGTAGGTTTCCGTCGTCCTCGCGCGACTCGATCGCGAGTGACAAGATTTTCACGAGTTTCTCTCAAATGTCCTCTCACGTTTTCGCACGACAGAGGTTCGCCCATGGTGCCGATGCCTCCGTTGCGGCCCGCCCTGGACAAGTTCGTCCACAGCGAGGAGAAACACACGACTGACTACCCGCTGCTGGAAGAAAGCTTCACCATACACCTGGGCTCTCAGATGAAGCAGATGCACAACATTCGCATACTGACCGGCGACGTGCTCGACTTTTGCCGCACGAAGAACAGCGAGTCCGGGTATGTCGCGAAATGATCTCGGCCGGGCCTGACCGGCAATTCGATCGGAGGTTGCGATAAAAATTTTCGCGATAAAAATATTGAATCTAGGATGGATCCGACGCCGCAGAGGCTGCAAACGGCTTTGGGATTATATTCGAACGATCTGTGCGGACTAGTCCTCTTGAGCGATAATCATCTGGGCAGTTACTCCGGTATAACAAAAGGTGCTTCTCGAGATCCTATTAAATCCTATTAAATCAATCAGATAGAACAGGATTCACTTGTCACTGTTTATCAAACTACCAATGTCGAGAAAATTATTTCAAAATTTTGGACCTGTGATAGGCTGTAGCGACTTCCATCTTTCCATCGCGCGATCCGACTCGCTGGAATAATTTCGACAAGTGTGTCATTGTAGAATTATGCTCGATCTCGCAACTGACGACGGAATTCCACTTCCCGCCGATCGACGAACAGCTGGAGAAGATTCGGGAGGACGTGAAGGACGCCGTCGCCTGGAGGCAGGCGCATCACAGAGAAGGAAGCGAATCTCACGTGAGTTGTTTGGAATCTAACTCGCGAGTTCGATAGCGATCAGCTCGCGTAAAAGTCGTAAATCTTGTTTGCAGACGAAGAAACCCTCGACGAGCAAGAGCCTGCAAACGGGCGACGTTTTTATCACGAGGCATTCCAACCTGGCGCAGGTCCACGTGGTGTTCCACATGGTGGTGACCGATTCCCTGAGATCTGGTAGGTGATTGTCGCGGGACGCCTCAATTAAAACACGAACCATGCTCTTTCCTTCTCGCTCTTTCTTTCTTTCTCCCATTCTTGAGCGCGATATTAATCCCCAGGCGATATCAACTCGAGGCACCCCGCTATTTTGGGACTGAGAAACATTCTGAAGACGGCATGTTGCAACGACGTGACCACGCTGACAATACCCGTGTTACTCGTTCACGAAATGTCAGAGGTAATCTATCGTTTAGATAAAAATATTCAGGGCTCGACGAAAATATAATTAATCTATATTGACGTGTATGTACATACGTGTGCGCGCGCACACGCACGCACGCACGCACGCACACACGCACACGCACATAACGTAGGATATGACGGTCGCCTGGTGCACGAAGCGAGCCGAGCTGGTGTTCAAGTGCGTGAAGGGATTCATGATCGAGATGGCGTCTTGGGGTGGTGCCGAGCTGAAGAATCTGCAGTTCCTCGTACCGAAAGTAAGTCCACCGCAAGTGCGACAAGTGTAACCCGTCGGCGAAGACCGATAAGGAAAAAAGAACATGAAAAATACAATTGACAAGAAAGAAATAATAACTCGCGCGCGCGTTGATACACCGTTATCGCTTGCAGGGAATGTCAGAGGAGGTGTTCGGCACGTTGGCCACAATGTTACCCAGCATATTCCGTGTGTCGAATCCGTTGGTTTTCAAGGCCACCAGCACCCCGCAAACCCCGAAGAAGTGAACGACCCTATCTCGCTCTCACTCTCGTTTTCCTGTTCTTCTCAGCCATGCGTTATCGTCCAGCGCACGCTCGATATAATACTACGGTATTTATTACTATGTATCTTTCGCGCTCACGTACACGCAGCAGCAGATCGTAATTATCCGTTCGCGATCCGGGCGCGAACAAGATACGACTCTTGCGAATAAATGTCTAGCATTTAATGAACCTTTTGTTTATATTGCTTTCACACACAGAGCGATTTCCCACCGAGTGCGGGCCGATAGCCGGGCAAGCACTTTTCTCTCATGGAACCTCCGACGGACGTAATCGTCCGTTTTGTTTTTCTCTCTGTCCGACCGCATCTTCGAGGATTGTTAATAAAGTGTCTTGATACGTCCTAATCTCTTCCCCTATCCTGTGTCACTTTCCTGCATTATCGGCGAATGTTGCTAAAGATTTCTTTTTTATCCGCTAAATTTGCGCAAACATGCACGCGCGATCTGTTTCTCTTGGAGGAAGAGAGAGAGAGAGAGAGAGAGAGAGAGAGAGAGAGAGAGAGAGAGAGAAACAGTTCGATTATGTCAGAACGTATAAATTACAGCAGAAAACGTGAAAATACGTCAAGTCAATTCGTAACATATTAGTTTCCGTCGACGATAGTAGATATATATGAGCGATACATATATTATCACCGTTAGACACGCTGCACGGAAAGCGTGGTTTATCACTGTGTCCTCTCATCATAGTGTCCTTATTGTCGGTCATGTCGGAGCAGATAGATATAACGCTGACACTTTGAACGCGACGCGTTCAACAATAGCATCGCTCGCGGCTGTATCGCCGCGAGATGCAGCGGGCGTCACGTCTAACGTGCCAGAAATTTCGCAAACCTCGAAGATACAGGCGCGGATCATTTATTGGCGTTTTTGATTGAAAGAAATACGCACGTTTAATCGGCGAGTCGGTGACGAGGACGATCGCCGGGTCCAGGCCGGGTCGGGGCGAGAATAATCGGGGGATTGAACGTGTAATCGCTGGTTTATCTGAAAGCGGTGCGTTAACCTCGGCAATTTTGAACTTCTGACCGGGAACGGATTAAATTAACGCGCGACTCGCGACATCTCGGCCAAGTCATTTTGTAAAAAAATATTTGCCGTGACCGCGGCGACATAACTAATGCGCGGCGTACGTCGACGCCTACGTAGTTGGTCTTATCGAGTCGCGGCGAATAAATGAGACCGTCGAACCGTGTGTGTCCGCATTCGCTATTAATTAAATCGCTCGATACCTCGTTTCGCCGATAACGCGCAGCGTATTTGTGAGAAATTAATTAACGCGCAGGAGTGCGCGTACGTGCGCGACGACGACGACGACGACGACGACGACGACGACGACGACGACGACGACGATTCGCTGGAAAAGCGCGGCTCGGACTATCAGTCGGCCGGACTATCATACGGCGAGATAATTTCGATTTTATCGATCGGCAAGATCGCGAGGTGGTGAGGCGGTGAAAATCGTGAATTTTCCACCGACCGGCCGGGTCGCAATCGGTCGCAGCGCGGAGTGCAGCTGCAGTGTGATGCAGCTGGTGTTCTTCTGCCCCACTCTTAATTCGGGAATGCACAATCTTCGGCGGCAAAGCGTCGCGGATGAATTCGTTGTTATTTCATCGGATCGCTGGGAGGCGCAAGTCCACGTTTAAGTGGTCCCGCTGGTGGTGCGGTCGGTAGTGTCGATCGGGTGCATCGGAATCGGGTCACTTCGAAAAATCGACGAATCAAACTAATCAGACTAACCACCTGGCACGATGTGGCTCGGGTCGCTCGCGTGTCTCTTCGTCGTCGTTTCGTTCGTCTCGGCGAAGACGGTGGGTTTTGCCTTCTTTTCTCTCACAGTGACTTTCGCAGTCGTCATCGTGAACGACAGTGATTTACGGTTTCATGGAACACTCGGTGACACTTTTGGCTCGTAATCGGCGAATATCAACTTCCTGGCGCGCTTATCGTCCTCTTGAAGTCCGGAAGCGATCTCGTCCGCGGCTAAACGTGTGTTGCAGCGTACTTTCCAAGCTTCATCTCGAATTTATATTCGAGTCGTCGCGAACACGCCCTTTTCTTTATTCTTGACGAATATTTGTGAAAACTGCATGAGCTGTCGTTTTGTTTTCTTTTTTGCATATGTCAAAACTGGCGATCTCGATATCTTATCAACGTACACGTGTCCGGGTAACAGATCGGGTCACTCGAGTATCAGCGTGAGAATGTCAGAGAGGCGTTTCGCACTGTCGTCCCAAGACTTCAGAGCAGAGTTGCGTTTCAGAGATCTCAGTGTTCGTTCCACGGATTAAAGAAGGAGGATTTCTTCATGAAAATCCAGAAGCAGATTAATCTGCACGAAGTGACAGATCTGAATCTCAGGGGCAACCAATTTGACAGCTTCCTCGATTGCTCCACCAATCTGGAGAAGCTCAGAACGCTGGACCTGTCGCAGAATCACCTGCAGCGATTCTTCTTCCTCTGCAAAGAGGAGTATAATCTGCAAGTGTTGAACGTCAGCCACAATATGTTGGAGTACATAGACGATAATTCTATCAACCACCGAATGCCGCAGCTGAAGATACTGGATCTCTCGTACAACAAGCTCACCGTCGTCAACGAAACCATGTTGGAACACCTGACGGTATAACAACTGATCACTCGATTTTCATTCCGTTCAAATTTTCGATAAGGTTCTCTGATGAAGATTCCGCCGAATCCCGCGAGTTTTCAGATTTGATGATGATGATGATCGACTTCGGTTTGCAGTCGCAGATAAAACGAAACAAACGAAACCGCCTAAGACGCGAACGACTAAACATTGCTTTCAGATTCTCGAGTATCTGTCCTTGTCCCACAATCCCATAGGAGATGGCATACACAACGGCGCATTTTGGAACTTGAAGGCTCTCCAACATCTGGACTTGCGGAACGTGTCCGCGCCGTTCTTCTCCGCGGACTTCTTCAAGACCTTGACGAATCTGTCGAGCTTGGACCTATCGTGGAACCCGATCAGCGTGATACCGCTGTTGCCGGTGAAGCTGCAGCAGTTGGATTTATCCGGCACGCAGGTGATCAGTCTCGAAAATCTGTATCTACCGGAGCTACGAGAACTGAAGCTGGATCATCTGCCGAACCTGACGTCGTTGGCCCTGAACGACCTCGAGAATCTCACCTGTCTGGAGACGTTATCGATGATCGGTTGCAGACGGCTGATACAGCTGAGCCTTTGGCCCCAGAACAGGGCAGTGCTGCCGCGACTGCAACGCCTCTCGGTAAAAGAGAGCGGCCTGATGACGCTCGGTGTGGAGCTGAGCGCGTTGATTCAACGGGTACTGCTGGTCGAGGTGGAGAACAATCCGTGGAAGTGCGACTGCAAGATGGAATGGATCAACTCGCTGAATTCTACGCGGAATCTCAGCCGAGATATCAGGTGAGAGATGGCGACGGACTCTCCGACGGCGAGTCGGTACGAGTATCGGTTGACGATAGGACAGACGGACGCGGGGAATATCGCTGTTATCGCTCTCATCGTATCACCGGGGCTATTTATAATTTCCATTATCAGCCCGCGAGCGCATATTCGTTTCGAAAATTCGCGTCTTGTCAGAATGATACTCGCCGAATAACAACAAATCGCTTGCGTGTTTCGTCGTGTGCTCGTCGAGGTTCACCTCCAGGTCCACAGAGGTCTCGAGAATCCTGCACGTGAACGTTCGAGCTCTCTCTCTCTCTCCTCCGACGCGTCCGATGCGACTCGGCGACATTTATTCGCTCGAGCTGCTCTTGGCTAAAAACGGGCAACTAAACGAGCAATATCGGAGATGCGCCAGGCGGATACGCCGGCGACTCGTAATCTGCGCGTTATCAGCGGGCTTGCTCGTACGATTCTCAACTTCGCGGCTGACCCGCGGTCGAAAATCGCGCCGAGAGCACGCGGTTGCCGAATGAGTGCGACGAGGCGCGACGGTGACGACCGCTGCACACATGTCCGACCTGGTATTTGCATGTCGACAGATGCCACACGCCGGATCGACTCCACGGCAAGCTTCTCGCCGAGGTGCCGAGCTACGAGCTGGAATGCGAGTACGACACGCCGATCTTCTACCCGATCATGTGGACGAGCGTCTCGGTATTGATTGTCGCGCTGATCTTCGCCGCGGTTTTCATCCTCCTCCGACGGCCGACGAGCCAATGGAGCTTCAGGGGCAAGGGCCGCGACACCGTCACGTACACCACCGTCGTCGAGTCGAACAATGACCTGGTGCGGATACTCGCGGTCACCGAGAGCCACGATCGCAACGACGAGTGAGATACGCCGGGCCGGCGAGATACGAAAAACAAGGAAGCGAGAGTACGACGACGAGAACGTCTCGGAAGATATATATATATATATATATATATCGTGGAGCTAATGAATAGAGAATGCTCCAACGAGCCCCTCGCTTGTCATCAGGATCTTTTGTAAGAGTTAGGTTACCCTATAAATAGTACTATGACGTAGTAGCGTAATGGACGATTTATCCGTATTCCAGAAAAGATCGCTTGTAACTCGTTCCCTCGCGAGTTCGTCCTCGGTGGGCGAATTCGCGGGACGTACAAAGTGCGTTCTAATTTCCGCGAGACGTGAAAACAAAAGCGGATGTGCGTGTGCGTGTGTGTGCTCATGAGTGCGCGCGTGTAACGCGGTTTTCCGCGATATCAAGATCCCGCGGTAACCCATCTCGCAACAACGGGATCGGCGCTTCGCACAAAGTCGCGACATTTAAGCCGCAGCCGCGGCTGATAGACATTAAGTCGTTGCACATTACAATAAATACAGATACATACACGTATCTCAGAGAGTAAAGCAAGCACCGACCGAGGGAAAGTCACTCATACCACGCCTCGTGAAGCCCGAATATGAGCGAGGAGTGCACACTCGAGTACTCGAACGGTTCCCAGTGTCCGATAACAATGTGGGACCGGGCTGGCGGTCGCGAATAAAACGTCCGTGTTTCTTTTCCCCCGGCGGTAAGAATCGGCGTGTTTTAAAAACCCCTTTACCTTTGTTCCTCGCGCAGCTACGCGCGGCCGAAGCCGCAGGCGGCACAAAAGCGAAGTAGATACAAAGACCGCAATGGCTCATTTGCCCTGAATGACGGCGAGATCCTCTTCCGCGTAACGACGCGGCAACGCGTAGCTGAACGCATGAATTATCGTGCGTGGCATCTTGAGAACTAACACTAATTGAAATTCCACGCGATTCCGCCGTAACGGCTTCCCGGGCATCCGGCGGTTTGTAAAAAAAGGAGTCCTCCTTGCGAGCAAAGTCAACCCCGCAACGCAATCCTGTTTCCGATATTCCCTACTTTCCAACCGAATAAAGGATACCGTCTCTACCCCTCTCTCTCTCTCTCTCTCTCTCTCTCTCTCTCTCTCTCTCTCTCTCTCTCTCTCTTTTCCCCTCTTCGAGCACCGTTCGTTCGCTTTGAAGAGCGAATTGTCGATGACCGAGTTTAACGAGAGAGCTCCCGACGGGAAACGTAAAAGGAGGAGGAGGAAGAGGAGGAGGAGGAGGAGGAGGAGGAGGAGGAGGAGGAGGAGGAGGAAGAGGAGGAGGAGGGTTACGCCTCGCGCACCAGCCTCATGGATGACCTATATATCGCGGTTGAACGTTAGCATCGTCCGAGGCAATGTCCGTGCAAGAGCACGAGGGGTCTCAGCGTGCACGATCTCGGTGCGCCCGCTCGCTCGTTGATCTCATCGACTCGGACGTCGGGAATGAACGCGGAGATCGCGGCCCAGGGCGGGTGCGCGCTCGCGTTACCGATCGTTTATGAAACGTTAAGGCGCGGGGGGCGCGTTTTACGCGCCTCGTTCCGAGAAGGGGCGCAATATTGGCGTGTTATACGATGAGCCAGCAAATGGTGCTATGAAGATCGTCAGTTTACGTGACGTGCACCGTGATCGCGTGCGATGTAGCGATCAGCTTTTGTATCCAAGTATGATCTTCCTATGGGAGGCCTATTGGGTTACGGGCCGAGGAGAGGAGAGCCCCCATGGGCAAGAGGATGTCGTATTACCGCGGAGTCACAACATGCAAAGAGAGGAGCGCGAGAGAAAGAGGGAGGGAGGGAGGGCGAGAGGAAGGGAGGAAAGAAAGGAGGAAAAAAGGAAGGAGGGGCGGAAGAATCAGCCGGGGAAGATGCGCCGCGCCGTGTCGAACGGAAGCCCGCGCGATTACAATAACTCTCCATGTTGGGGTACGCCCGACACAAATGTGTGCAGTTCCTCCACTTCTTTTCCTCCTCTTAACTCTACCCCGAAAGAGAGAGAGAGAGAGAGAGAGAGAGAGAGACACGCCTTTCTCTTCTTTCGTGTACATCGAGAATGACACGTCGAGGTGTGTGATGAGACCTCGCGTCGCTTCGTCCTCCTCTCTGTCGGTCTACCCGCGAGATTGGTTTTGTGCGCGTCTTGTTTCTTTTTCCTTCTTTTTCCTGCGCCTCGCTCATTGTTTCCGCGACAAAAGGATTTGCACGAAAACAGCGAAACGAGAATCCGGCTGTTTCGCGCCGTAATACCTGCGTTTCATGATTCAGTAAAGAGCGAGCTATGGCATTTTGTATCCGCTGCAAAAATATTACGCTCATCTCTTTTATAAGCTTGCGCTTATTTCCTCTTCCCTTTTTTCCTCTTTCCCTTCTTTTCATTTGCACGCGAGTCGCGTCGCTATTTTGCGCGGTAGCGTCGCACGATTCGTTCGAAAAAAGAGGCAAGAAAAAGAGAGAGGTCCCATTTGCCATATAACCAAGTCTTCATTAACGAGAGCAACATCTCCGATCCCGTACGCGTATCGTATATCTCTTTGTACATCGGAGCATCAATTCGAACGGGCGAGTTCTTCGCACCATTTTTCCAGCCGGTGTGCGCGAATAAAGCGACTGAACATCGCGGAATATTTTTTTCGCCATGTCGAAGAGAGTGAGCGCATTCAGCAAGGGGATGCAAAGAAGGTTGAGATTGCGGGTTGCGAGCAGGGGGAGGAAGAGGAGCAGGAGGACGAGGTGTAGGAGAAAGAGGAGGAAGAGGAGGAGGAGGAGGAGGAGGAGGAGGAGGAGGAGGAGGAGGAGGAGGTGAACGATAGAAGTTTTACCCTCCTCGCGCGGCGGTGTCGAGTGTCCGTAATTCGAGATTCCGTGCGAGCCAATTTGGCGAGAGAGCCGGTGGAAAAATAATACACCGCCTACCAGCACACGGGATATATCGGCAGCGAGCGTGCGGAGGCGAATTTTAACGGTCAACGCGAAACACGTGGGCAGACCATGTCGAGGAATATCGTGTTTCGGCCGTTGGAGAAGATCCTATCCCTCGGTGAGTCCCTAAGACGCCCCGAGATCGCCGCGCGCGCTTGGCGTTTTTGTTGGAAAAACAGCGCGGCCGATACATCGCTCTCTCCTCGTAGCCGCTTGACGGCCGAGATCCTTGCTCCCGAGTATTTAGTCAGACGAGACGATACATATCGACACCTTGCGACAACCGATAGTCCCCTTCCGTGTCCGCTCGAAGACTGGGAGGATAGCTCTTTCTTTGGCAGGAGGGACGACTCTCTCTCTCTCTCTCTCCCTCTCCCTCTCTCTCTCTCTCTCTCTCTCTCTCTCCCCCTCTCTCTCTCAATGGATCGCGGTATACAAATCAGGGAGATACAAAGAGACGCGGTAGATTTTTATCGGGTTGGACAAAAAACTTGGCTCGGTTCGTGGCTCGGTCGAATTTGACACTTTGTGCTACATCCGATGGAAATCAATTATTCGTCGTCTGGCACGTCTCGGTTGCGTTCGCAGGTTTACCGTCGCGAACGGCATCGCGAGTCGAATCGAATATTCCGACTGACCGATCGCAATTAAACTGCAATCTAATCGAAGGATGTGATTACCGATCCGCCGGATCCCGGACGCTCTTCAATCTCGGCAGTGAACTCTCGACTAACTTTTCGCGATTCGCGAAAAAGACACACAATACGTCAGGGATGAATATGATGCCGGGTGTAGTACGCGAGCGTCTTGTCGCGCACATACGCGCGAACGTAAGTTACTCGGCGGAAACAACGGAAACATTTCCCGAGGCGCGCGCTTCGTTAATCAAGCGCGGCCGACCGACTTAGCTCCGTCGCTCGGCGAAACATATTTTTGTGACGGTCCTCTACATTACGACTCGTTAAGCCCGCGTCTGCATTAACTGAGCTAATCCCTTAATTACGTACCTCCTACTTCTCCTCGCTCCTTCTCCCGCCCTTCCGGCGGCGACTCTCACGCTTCCTACACCATCCTTCACTTGCTAATTAAAGAATTTCACGAAGCCCCAGCGCGTGTGTGGCGCGGAAAAACACGGCTGCACGCGCGCGGAAACGCAACTTTCGCACGCGTGCGGCGCGATGTAAGTTGCAACGCAATGTTGCGCCGCAAAGTCGCCGCATAATTCAACGCGCTGGCAGAGTATCGCGTCGAATTCAATTAGCGTAATCAGCGGGTGGAATTGTCACGGTCATGAGAGAGAGAGAGAGGGAGAGCTCTGTTTCGCGCATCTAATAATCGCAAACACCACGACAACGACGTCAGTGCTCGCGCTAAACACGCGAGATACGACTTCGTGATTGGACGAGATTGCAATGGTAGTGTTGAAGATGTCGGTGTCTGCACAACGTGTGCGTTCCGCCAACGCGCGTTATCGCCAATTAATTGGAGCTCTTGTCGTCACGGCGTTCCGATAGTGCCAGATTCTTAGCGTATTATCGTACACGTTACGCACGCACGCACGCACGCACGCACGCACGCACGCACGCACGCACGCACGCACGCACGCACGCACGCACGCACGCACGCACATACGTACAAACGTGCGTACATGCATCTGTTCTGGCAACACGCCGGCACCATATTGCGCCGGCCAAGTATGCGCATCCGTCCGCGCGTTTTGCGCGTCGCGACGCGACGCGTCGCTCGGTAACAGCCGCCGCATGCCGCGGAGGAGAGGAGAGAGTGCCCGCCGATTTTCGCCGGCCAGGGTTTTATCTGATTAAACCGACGTAGAAACATGGGGTTATACGTGTAAGCTTCCCGGGCCCGTCTATGGGGAGAGGCCGAACAAATGAATAATGAAAATAAAACCCTGGTGATGCTATCGGTAAGCACCACGGGATTACGTACGCATCAGCGCGCCAGCGATGAACTTATATTATGGAACCCCCCGTACAAGCTGCGCCAACACGCGTGCGTTGATGTGAGTGTGTGCGTACGTATGTACGTGCGCGCGCGCGCGAGACCGCAAGAAAAGCAAGCGGCTTTTTCGCGAGCAAGAGTTCGGCAAGTTCCTCTCGCGTCAGTCGGCACGGGGATTTAAATGGCAAATCGGGGACGACAGTGGGAGCGTTACATGGGATACACCGTAACGCGCTGATTTCCTACCGCTGGAAAGGGCTCCTCGGTCGCAGTCATTCGTCGTCGTGCAATTTCGACAAATTCCAGCCGCACCAGCCGCACTTTTGCGTCGGCGCTCGTCGCGGAATCTGCTCCGGAATCTCGTAGTGATCTCGAGTGATCCGCGATTAATTCGCACACTCGGCGACGTTTCAGTGACGGTAAAATCGAACATCGATAAATCATCATAAGGATAATATTATTATTATTATTATTATTATTACCCGCTCTCGAGGCCGTGGTCTCTCTCGTCATTCTCGCCGGATCAGCGATGTAAGACGAGAAGCAAGAAGTAGACGAAGCGCGTCTTGGAGCTCGCAGAGCGCGCGCATTCAACGGCTCGATCGCTCGCGATTGTC